TTTGAAGAAAAAATTGACTAATTAAACCTGGTTTATTATGAAATATTAAAATATAAAATGCAACAATAAAAAGTTAATTCTTAGATGAGTAGTAAACAGTAGTAATTTAAGGAACACCCTCTTCTTCGCTTTTAAAAATACGACCCATGATGAATAATTACTTAAGCAATTTAAAGAAAGGCGGCAGCACATCGACGCTGAAGGACATGCAGAATTTGATGCTCTATGTACGAGGTCGGACGCGGAGAGCGCGTAGCTGCGTATCCGATATCGGACATGGAGCCACTGCCTATTTAATTTTAACATGTCCCTGTCCAGCCACCAGCTAGAAACAAGCCTATATCAGAGACAACTCTGTTGTCTCTGCCTATATTCTAAATAATTTTAGATTTAAGTTGTTGGTTTTTGATATTCATGCGTTGTGAACTTGTTATATTAGAAGCAGAATATGTCTTTAGAAATTAAGGTGAGAACTATATAAATAATGCTTGCTTAGGTGGATCTTCATGTTTTGTTTAGACATGAGTATTGTTTTATTATAGTTAATTTAAAACAATATTAATAAAACTATTGTTAATCAAATAATTTGTATAAATCCTTTTTAATTACCTATAATTTGCCAGCTTTGGGGCTGTGCCAGTAAAAATAACATCCAAGTTATTCAACGTTTCCAGAATAAAATATTAAGGAACATCGTCACTGCATTCTAATACTGCCGTAATACTGATCTTCATAGGGACCTTAAAGTGGAGACTGTTGAAAACACATACAATACAAAAATTTGCCTGCCAGTAGTCACCAACAACGACTGCTCCAACATGGAAACCTTGAGATTATCCAGCTCCTCAACAATGCCAATCTAATAAGAAGGCTCCATAGAACCAAGCCTTTTGAGTTAGTTCAGAGGGGTGGCACAAAAATGATCGAAAACATTTGATCGAATGCATTTGATCGAAAAAACATTTTATCGAATAACAATAATAACAAATGATCGAAAAGAAAAATGATCGAGCAGAAAAATGATCGAAAAGAAAATTGATCGAAAATAGATTTAATAGAAAAAGCAATTGATCTAAAAACCAAATACACATAAAATTAGAAAAATTAAATTAAAATCTTTCAAGTAATTTACCTTGTGTGGCCTAGAGCCATCGTTGATTGGCAAAAAAATATAAAAGAAATTAAAAAATAAACAAAAAATAAAATAAACTAATTTACCTAACCAAGGTTTTTTTTTAATTTTTGTATATTTTTTTGCGAAGCAACCTCCGATGACTCCAGGCCGGACAGGTTAGGTAAATTAGTTAAGTATTTTTTTAAATAATTTACCTAAAACGTGCCATCGGGAGACAACTCGACATTACCGAAATACATATTTTGGGCGAATTCATCACAATGCTTAATCTCAATGACGATAAATAAACGTTTAGCTCAAAAAATATTAAAATTAATTTGTAAACAGTATTGTTTGATTATCCATAAAATTTTTCCATTAGTACCTAATTTGACGATAGCCCCTGAGTTTAGTTTCCCCGGTAATAGGTATTAGACGGACTGTTGCATGGTTTTCATAAATAATGTCACACAGTTGTTTATTGTGAATAGTGTTAAATATAATTTTGATGCATTATCGTAAGTCTGCTAAGATGGATGATTTTAAATATGTAATGAGCCAAAAAAATAAGAAAAAAGTGTATAAAGACGGTTATTTTTATATTATGGAAAAAAGCCGCTAAAAACATATCTTATTGGAAATGTGAACATTGGAGAAAACATTGTAAAGCAAGGGCTATAATTACTGAAGGAAAAAAATATTAAAAAAGCACACAATCACGAAGGAAACCCTAACCAATTGAAAATTTCCGAGAAAACAGATTGAAACAAGTTGCAGTTAAATCGAGCGATACTCCAAGATCACTCATTTCCAGTGAGGTAACTGATTTAAGTGATGCTGCAAGTCTCAATATGCCATCGATATCCAGTTTAAGCCGAACAATAAGAAACGTAAGAAAAGTAACAAGTATAGGAAGTACTTCAGTGGTGACAAAGTAACAAGACTTTAAAATTGCTAGAAAGAAAGAATAATAATATTTGGAACAAAAAAATAATCTTAAATATTTAAGTAACTCTAAAGAATGGTATGTAGATGGTACATTTAAGACAGCTCCTGGACAATTTTACCAACTATATAGTATATTTGGAACAATAGAAGAAGTGGCGTATCCTTTATTATTCGGACTCTTGGAGAATAAAACGGAGAAATCGTACATTCGGTTTTTTGAAAAAAATACGAGAATTTGTAACAGCTCCAAAAGTAGCAACAATTACTCTTGATTTTGAAATCGCAGCTATCAACGCTTGTAAATTGTTATTTCCTTCGGCAACAATACATGGATGTTATTTTCATTATAGACAATGCATATACAGACATATTGCAAATTGCGGATTAAAAAGAAAATATGACTCCGACCAAAAAGTACAGGAACAAATTAAAATGGTTGTTGCTTTATGCTTCGTTCCAATGCAACATGTCAATAGAGCATTTGAGGCTATCTCAAAAAAAAATATATTTAAAAAAGAAATCGCCTCATTTTTGGATTACTTTAAAGATACATGGCTTGGCACTGTTTCCAAAAAGACAAAAAAGAAGTCCCAATTTGATCACAGTTTATGGAATTATTATTTACAAACAATAAATGGACAACCAAGAACCAATAATTTTGTGGAGGGTTGGCACAGAAACTTAAAAAACCATTTTCATGGCAGTCATCCTTCTTACTGGGTACTTTTTGAAGGACTACTCAGAGAACAGGCTGTTCAAGAGTTAAAAATCAACCAACAAATTACCGGATGTCAAAAAAATTAAAGAAAGAAATGCAAAGACAAAAATAGCCATCTAGTGAACCTTGTTTGTCGCTTTCCTAACGAATACGAAGATAACGATACATTTTTTGTAGATTATGTTAAAAAAATTGCTAGCGTTATATAAATAATGTCAGTTATTTTGTTATATTTTTAATCAGTATAACTTTAGTTGCATAAATACAGTTTTCAAATCTATTATTCGTTGGATTTTTTTATATCACTATTTTTAATGTTGATTTTCGATATATTGTCCTTTCGATCTAATGAATTTTAGATCTTTTGTCTTTTCGATTAAATGTTATTCGATAAAATATATTTTCGATCAAATGTTATTCGATAAAATGTATTTTCGATCAAATGTCATTCGATCAAATGTATTTTCGATCAAATATTTTTCGATCAATTTTGTGCCACCCAGTTCAGAGATGTTATATTAAAACAGAATATAGTGTGGTTAAGTGTTATACGTTAACAGTAGTGAAACTAAATAATTAGACTCGTGAAGTACAATATATAGTGAGTATAGAATCTTAGTTTATGAAGTTTTTCATCCCTAGATAACTTAGGTAAAAATAAAATTGTTAATTGATCTTAATGATTAGATTATAATAATCATAAATGTCTCTTTACTTGGAGCATTTATTAAAAAAAACCTAGTTGTTTCAAATTAGTGCATTTAAGGGCCAATTCCACCGTTGTGTTAACCGGAGATTAAAATGACACTGTTAATGTAAAAATGTCATTTTAAACTTCGTTTAACACAACGGTGGAATCGGTCCTAAAGGAATTAGTGGAAATGAAGCAATTCGCTTCTATATTTTATGAAATATTCTTTAAATCATATTTATTTATTTGTTTGTTTAAGAATCAATGTTTGAGTTTTGTGTATTTTAAATAAACATGTATATTTTTAAATGTCTTTTTTAGTCTAATAATAATTTAGAAAAAATACTAGAATATATTTCTGAAATATTACTATTTAATATTTCTAAAAGATTTCTCAATTTTCATTTCATTACTATGGAATATTACATTTAGAGGACATTTTTACGTTTCTGGGATGTTTCGTAATATTTATACAACATTGCAAATGTTTCAATGTAACATTATTGAAATATTTCCGAAATGTGTTTGTGCTGTATGGGAATTTACCAATTAGTCCAACTACTGTATAAAAATAGTCCCGACCGAAAGAAGCAAACTGAATCAACGCGTCAAGTGCATTAATCGGCTAGATCGAAACGTGCCGTTACCATAGCAACCATTATAAATGTGCTGATTGACGAGACGCGTGTTCGGCGGTTTTATGCATAGCGCGTCAAGCGCTCCATTCGCTCGGATTAGGAAATCTTTCTATTGTATTATATTTCCAAAAACCCGGACGGTCGGATTCTTTTTATCAAGCGCCTCGTTTGTTTCATGCAGTGGTACAGTTTTGGAGATTTCTGTTTTTTAATTTGTATAGAGACAAAAATGCAGGGCATTTTGTCACAGAAAAAGAAATATTTAGCTATTCAGTTGATTTTTTTATTATTTTTACTGAAATTTTGGTGAAGCAGCGCGTCACCTGCGTCACTGGATAAAAAACATCGAAACCAAAAAATCGATGTTTTTTAAACATCGATACATCGTAAGCATCCCTACCTTGCTCTGCACTAACTGTTTAGGAATCTACAGTGTTTATTTTTTCGTGTTAGGCATACGACTAGTATACAAGTTAATAAAATGGCAACAGCCAGTCATCGACTAGAATTAGAAGATATGGTGGTGGGATATTAGCCAAACCGAATGTGAGACACAAAGCTAGAGAACATAGCGATAGCGGGGATATCGCAGTTGCCACATGTTTGCTGTGAAAGTACGGCTATGCCTAATCAAAAAAAAGTACTGTATGTACTTATATTTGGCTCTTTAAAAAAATAATTTATCACATCGGAAAAAAATGGTTCTTAACGCCAGGAAGGTTGCCGACCTCTACATTAGAACAATAAGTTTAAGTTAAACTGATTATTTATAACAGTTTATTGGGGAAAATGGTCAGTTTATCAAAACTGTATATGGAATGCAGCCAACTTTATGGCCAAAAGCCTTTAATTTTTAGATCGGTTGTCATACTAGATGTCACTTGTCATTATTGTCAATATCAAGTGAATTTAAAATGGTGAAAGTGCATAGTAAACTCAATTTAAAATTAATAAAATATGAGTTTTAATATTGAAGTAAGAAAAAAGCAGTTGCATAGTTTAAATCAGTATATCACATCTTCCAAAGACAAAGTTGACTCTATTTTAAGTTATTTAGGTTGGACAGGAAGAGAAGTTCAGAAAGTACTATTTCAATTTATTAATTAGTTTCTTTTAATTAATCTTCCCAATTTTTAGAATACAGAAAAAATAAATTGTCCCATAAACACTAAACATAGAGTGCCAATTGAAAAAATAGAAAAACACGTTCAAAAATGTTGCCTTTTATCATCTGGTTATGAAATTGATGAACAATTTTTATCGGAACCGCAAACACCCTCTTCTAGTTCGATTTTATTAGGTTTGAACTTTTACAAATATGTTATTATTATCATCCATTATTACTTTAAATTATTTTACAGATGGACCAAAAAAAATAGAAATTCTTAATGAAGCTCGACAGCATAATGTAAAGTTTAGACCAGGTTTGTTAAATATTTATTTTTATGGTAATGTTATCAGATGATAACATATATTATTTGTTTCAGAACTATTGTATTATCTATACATTGCCTTTAAAAAAATGAAATGCATAATGCTTGATATCCTTTTTTAGATATCCTTTTACCACAAAATGTTTGGGTGTGTATTTTTTATTTCATTAAAATGTGTGTGGTATTGTACATTTAAAAATTATTTTTCTATTAGAATAAAAACTACTTAACACTGATGGAATTGGGATTTTAAACATAACATAACTTTTGAAACTTAAAACCAAAATGAAAAAAGTCGTAGGATTAAAAATATTTGCAAGTTTTTGACAGTAAGTTTCTATTTGTGTTCTTGTAATTTATATAAAAATCCTATTACAATATACACAAATACAGTTTTTCAAATATTCGTAAATATTTAGAAGTAAGGGCCACCTATAAACCATATCTAGGTAGGTATGAAGATGAAAAGTATACAATTTATTTGTGTTCATGACATCCATAGCAGCACCTATAAATTTAGTATGAAACAGCATAAAATTCAAAAATATAAATTGGTTGGATTTTGCCAAGGTGGTCACCAATGACTACATAGAGACTTAGGGCAGGTTTTTCATTCTCCGGCTATTTTGGATAGAGATCCTGGCAGCTATGGAGATAGTCATCAACAATTGTCTGTTAAAATGTTTACTGACCTATAGTTATGTGATAGCCTTCAGCTATTCTGACTGTAACAGTAATAGATACTTGCAAATGGCCGTTTTGTACAAAAAGCCACCAGCTATTTATAGTACTACATAGAACCATTATCATCAAATTTCGAGGTTAATATTTTCATATTTCTCAAAAATGGATTTCTTTGAATACATTCACAGTGACAGTGACAAAAATTAGATATTTAAATTACTGAATATGAGTGATGATGGCCCAATTATTTCCATAACTGAAATTTAAATATTTTTTCATGACCCTTTTCATTTTGTTTGCATGTTATTGCATTTTTTGTTTCTTTTTATAATATATTCCATAAGGTTTTTGCATCCTGTTAGTAAATTTCAATAACAGGGTTCTATCTGATGCTGTGAAATTATCAAATTAGATGTTTTCTCTTTTTTCTAAATCACAAATTGCATAAAAATATAAAATAACACTGGTCATAAAGAAAAATTGAAGCAAACTAGAACAATTTTTATGTGAAGCTTAAATTATCCAATTAAGCTCATTTAATAAATTTTAGCTGAAATGTCAATCAGAGCTGTTGTAAGTACCAAGAAAAGTACTTATATATTAAATACAAGTTTTTTTTTATACAAATCAAGTACCAGTACAAGTATAAGTAAAAAATGAAACACTTAAAATATCAAATAAATTGACTTGAATTAACCAAATTTAAGTACCTACAAGTACCAAATTCATTAAACTTGCATACTTGAAATGATATTTAAGTAGAAATACTTTAAAACAATTGTAAGTATTTTTTTAAGTAAAGATCATATTGAACTAATTACTGCTTATCGATATTTTTAATGGAATATATATATTCAGTGTAGGCAGTATATCTGAATAATGAAACACGAGCATTTTAGTTAATGTTTTTTTTTTATTAATAACAATATTAACAAAAACAAATTACTAAAAATAAAATGTCCTACGAAATTTAAACAAAAAACATCTTTGCTTGTTGTTTCGCAAACATAATATTCAAATTCAACATTTAACTATGGTAAAATAACTGAAACTTATTTGTTTTTAAAATAACCAATTTTTCAAAATTGCCGTTACTTAGTGCATGTCTACAAGGCGCATTAATAATTCGGGCAAAACTAAAAAGACGCTCAATAGGGCCGATGACAGGAGGATCGTGTTATATTTATGAATCACAATATTAATATATTTATAATCGTCTAGAATGCTGAGACTGGTTCTTGATCGGTTAGGAGTTCCAGCTCGGATTGACTCTTCACATCAACTAATAAATTTCCAGATTTTCCTGCATTTGAAGAGAATGACTCGGTATTTTCTTTGAAATCGAAAAAGGGATCGTTATATGTTGGGTTATCTAAGGTTTTAACTCATGCTTCTTCATAAATACTTTCTTCTGTTGCTCTAATTACCCATGACTGCATTTCCTTGGATGTTGAAATTTCTGTATCTAACACGTTATACCGTCTTATTTTAAATCTGGGACAAACGACTGCTGCAATGAAAGCTGTCCTTGATTCTTCTTTAAGAGTAAGTAAAAAAGCAAATCTATGATAAATTGAATCAATTATAAAATCCGGAAGTTTTAGAAGCCGTTTTATTTTATTTGATAGTTTTAGCATTTTTGTTCTCAAAGAAAGTATACTAGGTAGCAAATATCCAAAGTAGGTGTTCTCTTCACTCTGTCGAAAATCCAAAGTTTCAGCTAGAGGTTTCATAATTTGTATGTAGGGTCACTTCGCTAGTAGTCGGCCATTTTTGATGACATTCAAATTGAAATATAAATTGCTTAGGTGTTGTCCAACTTAGGATCCTAGTTCTGAGATTGTAAGAAAGCTATTAGTCTATTTATGTGTTTACAGAAAAAAAATACTGTAATAAAGTCTATTATTTATTGTTAATATTTATATTGAAAATATGCTTTTTTCTAGTAGTCGCCCATCCATATCCTAGTTGCCAGCCAGGCATATCCTAGTAGTCGGCCGCCTGTAAATTGTAGCAATTTACTTCAGATACGGACTTTCAAAATTTTGTTGCAACTATTTATTTTATAACCAACTCAATCGCACGTTCTTCGTAACAATAGGACAACTTGGTAATAACAATAAAAATTATTATTTTAAATAATTTAATTAGAAAATATAGGAAAAAAATAAAAGTTAACAGAAACAAACAAAATATTTTTAAAAAAAGAACACAAACATGAAATTCTGGTATAAAAATAAATAACACCTATCATAAAGAACTACGTCAACTATCCTTTTCTCATTTTCTAGCGTTAAGAACGGGCCAGGTCCCATCTTTCTAGGTTTATTAGAAACACGTCCCTTAATCCGATCCTGGAGCGTTGCCCGCGGAACCCCATATGCTCTGCATGTTTGCCTTATTTTGGCGCCAAGTTTTACCGCATCTAATGCTTTTTCCAAGCTTTCCTCCGAATATGAGTGTATTTTCCTTTTTGGTTGTTTAAGCATGGCCTAGAAGAGCAAAAAAGGCAAATTTTAGACGAAAATATGCACAAAAATAGAGAAAAAATTTTGTGGCCGACGACTAGCAAAATGTTTATTTGGATACTGTTCTAGTAGTCGGCCACCAACTTAAAAAGCAAATAACTTTTTTGGTATGTACTTTGACCCCGGCCGACTACTAGTACAATATATCATTTGATATTAATCTAAATGTCATGCAAGAAAAATATATACAGACTTCAATAAATGCAAAAAGACAAAAACATAAAAAGGTTCATGTGCTAGTAGTCGTCCACCATGGCCGACTACTAGCACTATAGGTTAGACTTTATTCCAGTAACAGGCCACCTTATTTTAACCTAAAAAAACTAATATCTCCTTTTTACATAAAAAATAAGTTATTTTAAAGTCTACACTTACCTTTATAGTAATAAAACAGCTTCAAGACACTTACAATTTGATTAAATTCACTTGTCTCACATATACACCTGCATCTTTCACTACTTTCAATAACTGCTACACGAGCCCAAGTTGTAAACAGGTACTTTTTAGGCGGGAATTGTTAATACTAAAACTTGACGCAAGAGGGAGTGCTTTGATTTTTAGGTCAGAGAAAGATGGAAGTTTACTGGTAAGAAAGAAACCTGTTTTAAATTGGCGGAAAACTCAAATTATAATTAAAAAAAGACTAAAGCGGCCGACTACTAATGGGGGCCGGCTTACTAGCGAAACCACCCTACGTATTCTTCCAAAAAAGAATTTCATTTTCTTTAAAAGGTCCAATCATCAGTCTTTCGTCTAATAAAGGCAGTTTTTCTTTATACATAAGTATTTTCTGTACAGGGTCGTACAATGAATTCCATCGAGTTATTCCAGGAATACTAAATGTGTGACCAAGCATGTTTTTAATTATTCAATATTTACTTCAAGTAATTTTACTGTTACTTAAGTATTTTAATAATACTTAAGTACACATTTTCGAAAGCTTTCAAGTAAAATGTACTTGAATGATATTTTAAGTAGTAAGTACAAGTCAAATTAAAATTGCAAGTAAAAGCACCAAGTAAAATAAAATACTCAGTACAACAGATCTGCTAAAAATAAATAATAACTATTAGCTACGTAGCTAGCAGTTAAATTCGTGATGATAAACAGTTCCATCGGTAACAGATACTTTGACTGTCAGCTACAATATGGCTGTCGGCTACGGAACAGCCACTTTTGACTGGACATTGAAAAACCGGCCCTTACTCAAGACCCCAAATAAAATTTCAAAATAATTGTCTCCATAAGCGAAAAGTATGTTTCCTGGTACCCGGTATTTAAAATCTACCTCATTTCGAACTATTTAAATGCATAATGAAGTTATGGCTAGTTCCTTTTATTTTTATGTTATCTCAATAAAGTTCTTATGAGTAGGTACATGATGATAATAATAATAATATACTTTGTCAGAGAGAATACATTATTACATGGACAAAGTTTTATACTAATGTTATAATAAAATAGGTAGATGTTAACATTCACATTGCTAAAAAATATTAAAATTTGATTACAATTAATTGTTAAAAAATTATCAACAAACCTATAGAAAAAAATATACCTAATTTTGAAATTCATCATTATAAAATTCAAACAGATTGAAATATGTAAAATATTTTTTGTAGTATTCCTGTCTGATACTATCAGGTACCTATTATTTGTATTCAGTTAGATAAATAGCTTTGAAACCAGTGCAATGTTGCATTTCGTAAACCATAATAGTAGTTTGTGCAACAAAAGTGGATATGGACAATCCACTCGAGTTGTGCAGTATTTTTTTTC